GAGCATTCATATTTAAGCTGTCTACCACTCTGCTATCTTCTCCATTGGCAGTGATTCCCAATGCTTAAAAATACTTTTGTGCTTTCTCCCTTAGATTGAAAGCACATTCAGCATGATGTTATCTGTACACTTGCAAAACTAAAACGTAAAGACAATTTATTCAACCAATCACCATTTCACCAAAACTTAATTAATAGTCGAGTACAGAATTTCAAAGTGGTCAGTTTCTGTTGTTAAGTGAGACATTTGTTAACTGGATTTTGTCCAATTTTACAACCTTCCTTGCCATAGTTGTTAAGTGAACCACTCAGTTGATAATTAATAACTTGGTTAAGTGAATCTCACTTTCCCATTGACTTTGTCAGGTTACAAATGATGATCACATAATCTTGGGACACAGCAACAATTATAAGTATGAACCAGAGGTGTGTTCCTACCAGTTTGGACCATTTGGCTGAATAGGTAGTAACTCGGCCACCTATGCCTCTGAACTGGTTCTATCAGCGGTGCCTATGGTGGCACCATCTTGTTTTTTGCTTCTGCGCATGAGTGGCGAAGCAATTTTTTCACTACTGCGCATGCACTCACGCATGCAAAGCACGCGTGTACCCGAAGCACATCCCTGAGCGAACCGGCAGTAAAAGAATCTGCAACCCACCCCTGGTATGAACCATTGCCAAGCATCTGAATTTTTTTTAAAACAATTTTTATTTGTTTTTAAACAAAGACAAACAAACATAAAAATAAAAATAAACCCATCTTCCATTACAAATTGTAGAAAGTGTGTCAGTTGTTTACAGTATTTCTATAGATCTCTTCCATAGTCACTACCTGCTTTTCATATCAAAGTGCATATTTTAAATTCACCTATCTTCTGTATATCACAATTATTGTATCTCAACCTTAATTTGACTATAATTGTTTTTATGTTCTTTTATATATAATATTTAAAATCTAGAATAGGATTATATAATAACATTCCATTAAATCATCCTAAAATCATCCAATCACAATACATCTTTATAACATATTCTAGATAAAGCTTTTAAACCTCCTCTCATAATCTCCATTTATTGTTTATATAAAATTTCATATTATCAAACTGATATATCTATATGTATTGTTATCATTATTAATCATTATTTACCTATAGCTATTGTCGCTTCATTTTATACACAAACGTAGTAAACTAAGTTTAGCTTAATTTTTATTATACATTTACATTGCATCAACCTGTATCCCTCCAGCAATAGTACGATCTTATATATCTTGCCATTTGCAGCATTAATGTTCTAGTTACATTCTTAATAAATCTTATATAAACCTCCTTGGCAACATGCTGTTCCTTTTGTATCTCATAAAAGCTTGAAGCCCAATATCTGCTCTTTCCATCAGCTTATCTTTGGTTATCACTAGTGCTTCTATCAAGATTTCTCTCCTTATCTCCGTCAATTTTTCTCTCTTTTCTTCTTCTGTGCTTTGAAGTCTGGGGTAGAGTTCCAATCCATCCATCTCCCCTTTCCATATTCCGCTCTTGCCATTACCAACCATGCTCACTTTGTTGTCAGTATCCACAGTTTTCTTATCTCTTTACTCATTTTTTCCTTCCATCTTTTGAACTCTGTCCTCTACTTTCTTCATTTGATAAACATCCTTAGTTTCTCTATCAGATTTTTCTGTTTTGTATTCCATATTCTCCAAATTCTTATCAATTCTCTCTGTCACAACTAATAGATTTTGAATTTCAAACATAATCATTTGCAATGTTAGGTTTTTTTTTCCTGCTGTTCAAGGCTATTTAATAAACTTCAAACAGGTTCATTTATTATCTTTCAAGTCAAAATGTTGTTTTCTCTCCAAAAGCTAGTGATAGAACTTCCAAAAGGCACCTGTATAAGCAACTTGGGCACTTTCTACTATCACTGTCAGTAAACAAGCTGAAAGAAACTTGAATCTCAAGTGACCAAAGAGAAAGAAGAAAAAACAATGTATCCAGCCTCCAGCCTCTAAGTTGCAGCGTAACTGCTTTTCCTCCTGTTTTTACAACCCTCTTTAATCCTTCTTATTTCCTTTTTTATATTCCAAGCTTAAGAAAGAAAGAAAAAACCCTTAAATGGAGATAAAAAACAATCCAATCAATCAAATCAAGCATTATAAAAAAAGAATTCTAATCCAGTGTTTTTCAACCTTTTTTGTGCAAAGGCACACTTTTTTCATGAAAAAAATCACGAGGCACACTACCATTAGAAAATGTTAATTTTTTTTAACTCTGTGCCTATATTGACTATATATAAAGTAATTTTCCCACGGCACACCTTACACTATGTCACGGCACACTAGTGTGCCGTGGCACAGTGGTTGAAAAACACTGTTCTAATCCATAGGTGTAAGCAAAAGTGAAAAAAGAAGAAAAAATTAATCCATTTAATTTAGTTTAAAAAATACGGAGCCCCTGCAAAAATTCCATCTGTGAAAAAAAAAAAGAAATTAGAAACTGGATAACACACTGAGTTTAATGCGGATCAATCTCACCGCCTACAGTCTTTTGTCTTTAATCTTAACTTAATTTTTTTTCCTTGGGTAGTCTCTTCCTCTAATAATAAAATTTCCTCACCAATTTGACACACTTTCTCTTTCCACTTTCTTCCAGTTCCAGAGCTGTCCCAACTACAGCAGCTTCATTAGCTGCATTTCTGTCGCCGGAAAAAAAGGCTATTCCTGAATCTTTCAGGGACTTTGCGATGTCCCTGAGATCAGCAGGAGGTGCCCTTCTCAATCACCGTCTTAGCGGGATGGTTTAGGTCCAAATGGACCATCCAGTGGCAGGAATTCGACTGCGATCTTGGACTACCAAGATTGCACGTCGTTCTTTCGTGATGTCAGCTTTCTTCTCCCCAAGCAGCTGAATTTTGATCACACAATAATGGGGGTTTTCAAGTGTCATAACTGAAAAATAGTCATGTCACATTTTTCAGTGCCATAGTAACTTTGAACGGTCACTAAATGAATTGTTGTAAGTCGAGGAGTACCTGTAGTTTTCTCCTTCCGCTTTCAATGTTTATGAGTTAAACAAACCTTCTTCTCTCCTTTCATAAGAAACAGGAGCGGCTAGGTTATTGGCCTGCTGTCCTCACTTGTTTGTGCATTTGTTCCTATGTATTTGTGTTCATTTGTCTGGCAGTTTACATTCCTTCTAAAAGGCTGCTAATGGGTGGCTGCAAAAAGGATTGATTTTTGAAATTACAGTATTAGCAAATGCACTGAGAAGCCCAAAAGGCCTACTGTTTCCCTTGTGCCAGATAAAGTGTGTCTTTTTAACCCCAACAGTGCCTAAGTGTTATGTAGTAATGAACCAAGTGAGAATTCCATGCTGGTATGGCACCTCTGAAAGGTGTGGCATTCAGACTATCTGGGAAATTTAATACAAAAAAACGAATTGAAAATAAATGGAAACCAATGCCTCCAAACGCAAGAGGAGCTTGCTAGAGCAAAAGTTGCACCTGCTGCTAAAATGAGAAAGGGAAGAAGAAAAACGGCAGATGGCAGCAGCTGACTTATTCTGTGTTCAGAAACTGGGCAGGGTTAAGCCTCCATAATACTTTTAAGGGAGACCTTTCAAAGCAATAGACTCTTAGAAAGTTGAAAGAAAATCCAGAGATTGTAACTAGCAAACTATTTCCATATTACAGGCAAGAAAACTACACAGATTTAAATTACAACAAGCTAAACACTGATTGAATGTTAAAAGCTAAATACTGATTGAATGTTTCCAAGAGGACAGTTGGATACTAAAACAGATCACTCAGAGAACTAGTTTTCTTTGACTAGCTGAGTTCAAGTAGAAGATATTTTTTTTATTTATTTAGTCAAGCATATATTAGATAACATATATAAGTATAAACATGTTTTTGAATACATGATATAGATACGAATAAAAAGGAATATTAGGACAAGGACGGCAGGCTTATGCATGCCCCCTACAGACCTCTTAGGAATGGGATCAGGTTGACAGCACACAGTCTAATGTTAAAATTTTGGGGGTTTGGGAAAGAAACCACAGAATAGATAGCTATTAGTAAATAAATAATAAATAAAATAGTAAAAATATTTTATATTATTAGTGATATAGAATAAATAAAATTAATTAGTAAATAAATAATAAATAAAATAGTAAAAATATTTTATATTATTAGTGATATAGAATAAATAAAATTAATTAGTAAATAAATAATAAATAAAATAGTAAAAATATTTTATATTATTAGTGATATAGAATAAATAAAATTAATTAGTAAATAAATAATAAACAACTATTAGTCTTAGATGCTTTCGTGTACATTTCTGAAAGGCTGGATTTGATATTCTTATTGGGGACTTTCTAACTCTGATTCTATGGACATGTTCCTCTGTCACTCATGAACCAAGTTAAATTTCAGGCACACTTTATTTCCAAACAGTAACAGTGAGATTCTAGGCACTTGCAATTTATCAGCATTAATTTGTAGTTAACATCATGCAATCAATGGAAGATGGTACACAACCAGCCATAGAGGTAGGGGAAGTCCTCAAGCCACAGAGGTAGGGGAAGTCCTCAGGATGTGGAATTTGTTGTTCAAATAAGTGAAAAAGGGAAAAATCTTTATGTGCCTTTTCATGAAACTAACACAAAACTCCTAAGCTCATTAATTCTTGTTTTTTTTTCTTCCTTTCTTTCCTTCCCAACAGCACCTCAGTAACCTTGTTGATACAATTGTCAATTCAGGCAAATGGTGAGTAACATGAATATATATATTTCAATATATCTAAAGAGGGAATAAGTCAAGGCTTGGAATCTAGAGGACAACAAAGCATTGGTGCATTCCACTAGAAAGGACAGTGACTTGGGTGTGTTAGAAAATGGCTTGATGTTTAGGAGTTTTTTAAAAGGGTGGTGCTTACGTAAGTTTTACACAACGAACAGGCAAATTCAGCCTGTCTTACTCAGGTGAGCTATGTGAATCCTAAAAACTGTTTAAGATCTGGTGAGCCAAAAAATCTGGATGAGTCTCTAACATCAGTCCATTCTCCACACTCAAGTTTAGAGCATCTTCTGTATCATCCAACCATTTCTGAGGTAAAATAAAGCCTGAATCCATTACTGTTATTGTAGCACAAAGTTTGATGACTCCAGATGATTCTGTAGATGTTTGGACTCCTGCAGAAGAACTGTGTCGTACCTGAATTATCTGGGATCACTGAAATATTGTAAAGACTGGGGAGCATTGAAGAGGGCCTTGGGAGGGGAGTCAAATGACCCATTTACTCCCAATTTCCACAAACAGTGATTCTTGCTCTGCTTTTTCCTCAGCATGTAGTCATCTCATTTTTGCTGCAGTGTCCTTTCCTGCCTTGTGCAGAGGCTGGGCAGAAGTGCATCAAGACCAGTCTCTCTTCTTTCACCACCAACCCTATTACAGAAGCCACACATATCATATTTGGAGCAGAATTACAACAATCTGGCTAATCTTCTCCTAATCTGTCTGTTTGTTCAGTCAGTTCCTGTGTCAATAAAGTGAATTGATTGACTAATCTGGATCCCTCTTCCTGTTGGAAAGATCAGCCACATGTAAGATGGGGTGGAAGACAGTGGAGAAAGAGATGTTCTTGTTTAGAGATGGCAGGTCTGAGCAGATGTCTTACAATTATTCAGCTATGTACAAAGCAGTTTTGTCCATGTATTTATTGATGGGGTAAGTGGGTGGGGGAAATTTGCAGTAACTTCATGTGGGGAGGGCAGTATCCAACACTAGTGAGCTTGTGCTGGGAGGAGAACCTTACTTTGTATTACTGTGTGTGAGTATAGGGGATAAAGAAATCCTTGGTTCCCCTGAGCAGCGTCGTCTTCTTCTCATTCTTCCTTACCAGGAAAAAATGCTCCTTTTCCTTCTGTTGCAAAAAGAAAGAAAGATAGGGACAGACAGGCAAAGGCACCGAGGGAGATGACCCCAAAAAACAGTCATCCACAATATCAAAATGATCCCAAATGTTCTTAGCATTTTTCTAGCGTAACTCAATTGCCTAGTAGTTTCAGAAACTGCTTCGCCAACTGCTTTTTCCAGCAGGCCTTGGGCTCTCATTGCTTCTCCAATAAGGCTTTCGCTGTTTCTCCAGTTCTGACTATCAGGGTCTGAACCTCTATCTGAATCCCAAGAATCAATCCCTTTCATGGAGATCTGGGCAACTGGAGGAATGAAGTGCAGTGATGGCTAACCTTTTGGTCTTTGCATGCTAAAAGCGTGTGACAGCATATGCATGCGCCCACACCTATAATGCAATGTGTGCGTGCCCCAACGCATTCACATGCAACCACCCTGTGTGCCCTCCGCCCCCGTGCATGTACATGTGACCACTCCATGCTCCCCCACCCCTGCGCTCCTCCACCCCCTCCCATTTTTGGCTTTCAGATTTGTGCAGGAGGCTTTCCAGGCCCAAAATGGGGCGCGGTGAGCCTGCAAGGCCCCAAAATGCAATGCAAGAAACACTCATACATGCCTCCCACCTCTGCGCATGCCCGTGCACATCTCCCACATGCTTCCCAACCCCTGCACATGTGTGGCAGAGACCCGAAGAGCAGTTGGCCAGAGGGAGTGCATGCGCATGCATTGTGGAGCTGGGCTGCCGTGCCTACAGAGGACTTTGTGTGCCACCTGTGGCACACCTGCCATAGGTTTGCCATCACAGCTATAGTGGGAATAGGGGCTGGAGAAAGGAGCAGAGGCTCACCTAAATATGTTTACGATGATGCAGTGCAGTCTCCTTTTCATAAGTAAGGGGGGCATCACAGCGGTAAAAGCGCAAGCGGTATAGTAGCCGTACCCAGTGCCCAAAGACCTCATCCTGCTTGAGGGGGTGTGTTAGAAGCTGCAGATAAAAAGTGCGGCCATTAGCCAGGCGGACTTTGAGCTGGAACCGTGACTCATCATGAATATAGAGACGGACAAACTTCAAGGGGAGAAGCCTGGAGAAGGAGGAGATGGAAGATGTACATGAATGGGAGGAAAGTGGAGAGAGAAAGCCGTATCTGTCCATGGGAGGATTAAAAAAAAATCAAGATGCTGACTGCAACAGCAGAATCAAAGCTGCCATCTTGGACTTTTTGAATAATCCCTCTCCCCAACACTCCTGTTTAAAACCAGAGAAACAAACATTTCAATTCAGCCTCTAGGTGATGTGATCAGGGTTGATCTCCAAAATGGCGTGTAGCATGTAGCGATAGAGTAAATGAACCAGGGCAAAATGTAATTTAATGTTAAATATTGTTTAAAGACTAAAGTGAGGTAATATAAGGGCTCCCCATACATTTCATTATTTCCCCCCTTCTATCACATTAAAATTTAGCATCTAGATGCATTTCTTGAAGTGAACCACAGACAAGGCCTTGGGGGTATATCACTGTACGATGGTGGTGCGGTGAAAGGCACTCACGCAAACAGCTGCAGCTCCTCATCTGGGAAAGGCAGTGCCTCAGGACACTGACATTCACACCGTTCTGTTAGGCATGGAACTGGCCGTGCCAGCAGCATAAGATCAGGCATCTCTAGATGTGGGCTACTGGCAGCGATGCCCATAGTAACTCTGGTGGCAATATCTCCTGCCTTGGTAACCTGGAAAGGAAAATTCATTTTGAGGGTTCTTTGCACTTTTACACTATTACAAGAGAAATGGTCCTCACATAACAACTATTAAGCTAAAATCAAAATATTGATAATAGTCTATGGCTCTGTACAAACCCAACTGGGATACATTAATAAACAATAAGCCGAATTAACTACAGGCCAGAAATCTGTAGAAAACAAGATAGAGTTAGAAAAAGGGCTTCTCTTTATCAAAGTCACTGGAAATTTGCCAAGTTTTAGTAAAGTCAAAGGTTCTCCTTGCACATATGTGCTAGTCGTTCCTGACTTTAGGGGGTGGTGCTCATCTCCATTTAAAAGCCGAAGAGCCAGTGCTGTCTAAAATTCGCCAAGTTTTAAAGACTCTTAAATAAAGATTAAGTCAGGGATAGAGATATTCTGCTCTCCCAGATATTGTAGAACTATAACTCCGAGTGTTGCCTTTCATTGGCTTCGCTTCGTACAGGGCGGGGCATAACCTTTTCCTAGGGGGTCACAGCAACACTTGTAATAACAACACAAATAATTCATACACCATTCGAAAGCCCATCAAAAACTGAGTTTAGTATCACGATTAATTAGTCAGTTTGTTCCCCACTAG